AAGGGTTGCAAGGGGAGGGAATGCTTATGTTGGTAGGGAAGGATCAGGTTGGGACGGTACGATCAGGTTGGGGGGAAAGGATCAGGTTGGGAGGAAAGTATCAGGTTGGGAGGAAAGGATTAGTTTGGGAGGAAAGGATCAGGTTAAGAGAGAAGGATCAGGTTGGGAGAGAAGAATCAGGTTGGGAGAGAAGAATCAGGTTGGAAGGGAAGGATTAGGTTGGGAGTGAAGGATTTAGGATGGGAGGGAAGGAGAAAGTTGGGAGAGAAGAATCAGGTTGGGAGGAAATTATTATTTTTGGAGGGAAGGGTCAGGTTAGGAGGGAAGGATTATGTAAAGAGGGAAGGATCAGGTTGGGAGGAAAGGATTAGGTTGGGAGGAAAGGATTAGGTTGGGAGGGAAGGATCAGGTTGGGAGGGAAGGATTAGGTTGGAAGGGAAGGATTAGGATGGGAGCGAAGGATCAGATTGGGAGGGAAGGAGAAAGTTGGGAGAGAAGGATCAGGTTAGGAGAGAATGATTATATTTGGAGGGAAGGATCAGGTTGGGATGGAAGGATCATGTAACAAGGGAAGGATCAGGTAATGAGGGAAGGATCAGATTGGTTGGGAAGGATCAGGTAATGAGGGAAGGATCAGGTTGGGAGGGAAGGATCAGGTTGGGAGGGAAGAATCAGGTTGGGAGGAATAAGAAATGGTTTTTGAAAATAAAGAATAAATAAAATATATTTGGTAATATTTCAGGACTACATGGTGTAGAGAGAAATGAGACGTTGTCTGGAAAAGGTAAACAGGGTTAAAACAAAGAATGAGATTGTAAAGACGACATGAAATTCTTAAAATATTACGATTCCAAGGTTAAATCCGGTCTTCTGCCTTGAATCGATCGTTAAACGATCGTTTTTGCTTCGCTTTCCGATCGTTTTCAAAAGCGACCGTTTCGTTTTCGGAAAAAAACGATTATTTTTAAAAACGACCCACTCGTTTTGAACTTTAAGAAGACGAATAACGATTGTTTTTAAAAACCATCGTTTTTATAAAACGTTCGTTTACGAAACGGCGAGCTTTATAAAAACGATCGTTTAACATTCCTACTTGTATATAGTCGTTTAATGGCTTATAGTGCTTGGGAAAATAAAGAGACAAGTTTACAATTACAACAAACAAATAAATCTCTATAGTCTCATACTACTATGTGTGTAACACTGCAGTAGAACTGATAAACATCAAAATTGGAGAATTGAAAACTGTTGACATATTTTAAACAAGTGTCAAATGTTGTGCATTTTCAAAATAGATAGAAATACAAGAAATAAAATTATAATGAGAAAAAGTCAATACTTATAAACTTAAAGGGCCGTAGTGGGGGGGCTGTTACCCCTGTGCACCCCTAGACATGCATCTCTTAGGCCTCCCTAGAGCCAGAAGGCAGGCTCTAATATGTTAAACTTACATATATATTCAGATTCTTTTCTTACGCGCGCCAAAAGTTCACCCCCCCCCCCCTAGGCTAATCCTCCACTACGCCCCTGTACACTTAGGTCATGCAAAAAACTGATAATGCCTTCAAGCTTACTGGAGCTGTAAGCGTAATTTCTAGTGACCAAAGATGGGAGTGCCCGATTCACAACGGTACCCTAGAACCTTAATTTGAGCAACAATATTGAAAATATAGTTGGTGGAAGGTTTAACCAAACCAGATTAGAAATAAACGATGGAGACCACTTTTTCAGTGAAAATATTTCGACATTTCTATGATGTCATTATCGGTAAACAAAAACAATATCAAATATTACAGATTTATTAAAGAAAAGAACATGTATACAATGTATAACAATTTAAATTTAAATTTTAATGTTGAAGATGTCTTTTTCCAGGTTTAAAAGTGTCTGATATTTCATAAATGGTTTACTGCAATAAAAAGGCCCAAGTCTTTTTTTTTAGAAAGATCACATTTGAAATCAGTTTTCTAAATCATAAACATTGATATCTAATTCATGTTTAACAAAGTTGTTGAGGATGCCGTTGTTAATAGGCATTGTCATCATTGCATGGAGGGTCACTTGAATATACGTTTACAGTTCCTTTAACGGGTTCAAATCCACTAATGTTAAGATTATGAAACTACTCATGCAGTTTAGTAAAAATTTTAATTTCCTGAATACATTGTTTTTTATCGTTTTTTGAGATGAATACTTAGAGATAAAAACTTTACGAAAGTTAGCAGACCGAGTGGTTATTTTACTTAACTGTCTCACTCCCAAGGGACGTTTAGTTACTTAACCATCCTTAATTGGGGGAATCAAAGCTTAGCTAGGTCGGTAATATTGCAGTCAAAAGGGCATCTTCTATTTACCTTCTGCAAGCTATTTTTTTTTTTAAATATTACAAAATTTGTTTTTAAATCATACTTTTTATATTTATATTATCTGCAATATATCTTAGATTTTTAGCATTAACTGATTTTTAAGCAGATTTTGAAACAAAAGTTTTTGCGCAAAATCTTTAAGATTTATGGTAAATGATCAAAATATGAATTATGATTGATTGATAGATCGTGGTGGGAAATCAGCAGGTGTCTTCACCGTGGTCAGGTTCCCCAACTCTGCTTGTCTTGGATCTGGGGGCCTCAATGGAACCTGCTTTACCGCATCAGAGTGTACAGCTAAAGGTAAACCCACAGAGCCCAAAACTTAAGACAGGGTATGGTTATAAAAACCAGTTTTGAAACCCGGGTTTCAGGAATGGGGTTAGCAAATTTTGTAGATATCAATATTTTTGTTATGAAACAGGAACAAATGGTGTTATCGACATTATTTACTCTCAGAAAAAATAAGATTTGAGGAAATATAATCTGCATTGTTAACTTTTTATCTCATCAGGGGAGGCAATAGGGACGTTTTAAGACGCAACAAGGTCTAGGGAAGCCTCGGCGGAAAAATATTTCTTACAATTTATTGCATCCTAGTTGACTCACGTGAATAATTTAGTTATGTAATTTTTTTAACTTTAAAAAATATTTTATGGAGATTATTTCACTTCTAAACAAAATGAAACATTGAAGTTAAGAAAAAAATACATTTCTGGCATTAAAAAGTGCAAATCTATTTAGTTTGAAAAATATATTTTTGAGTTCATGTTTTCGGAGTTGTAAATCCGCAACATCTTGGCAGAACAATTCACAAGGGTTGCAACATCTAACATTGCTACTCTGGTTTCAGGGTTGCAATGAAAATATCAGATTCAATAGTGTCATAATTTTGTTTAAAAGTGGGGAAAATTTTTTCCCTACTATAATTGTGTCTGCGAACCCATTTGTTCAGGTGGAAGTGCCTCTATAAGCTGTGCTGCTGGGTTTGGTATCTGCTGTATCTGTAAGATCTTTTTAATCCCTTTCAGCAAAATATTTAATAAAAATATTTATGATAACAATTAACGAGACAGTAGTCGTAATTTTGAGTGACCCATGCATGCAAAGAAGAAAATGCCGATTTACAACAGTACCCTTTACATCTTTGTTTGTTTATCGATTAAAGCATTTAAACTCCCGGAAAACCCATGTGTACACTGCGTACAGTATGAACGAAACACAGCTAATCCGTTACCTGTGTCCCTTATAACTTGAAAACTTGAAAACTTTGAATGAAAATATTAATTGTCGGCCACGTCTAGAAAGTGAATATTTATATTTTTTTAATAAAAACAGCTTGCAAACAAATTAGGATAAGCCCGACAAACTTAAAGAGTACTGTTGTAAATCAGGCATGCCACTCTTTAGATGGAGAGTAACTTGATATTACGCCTACATTAAGCAATCATTATATTCAGTTTCTATGGCGTGTGGAACTACAGTAGCTCAGAACAACACCTACCATATTATAACAACCTTCAATACAGCTTCCAACCCTTCACCTTGCACATATAAAATCTGTCCGTGTAGTAACAATATCTGCAAAATTAGATTAGACTTTGAGGTAGCTCCATAGAATGTTTTAGTAAAAAAATTTAACTAATGAGTCTCTGCGACAAACTTAAATTCTATTATCCTTATATCTTTGTAACCTGATCGTGTAAACCTTGGATGTTTACAACTTAGATTATTTGATCTATACCAGAATTCTTAATTTTAAATATCTACGGTAATACGACATTGGTTTGCAAATATACAGGGATTTAAAAAATCAGGGTTTGTGGCAAAGACTCAATTCCTTTTTTTAAAAATGATAGTATGGATTTAGAGTATTCAAAAATAGGGATATGTTCGAAAATTAAATTAAGAATCATCAAAAACTAATTCTCACACCTTATTATTAGTTTAAAATTGACATTTATTGTTTAAATATGTAATGTTATAAATATATGGTGTAAATTCTACTCGTCTTGGATTTAAAGATATATACTCTTGAAAAAGATAACTTTGCAGATTTGGACCATTTCTATTCTAACACTCGATCGGTGCTGGAAATGGACCAAGTGATAGTTTTGGAACTAATATCCCCTGTTTATAATGACAAAAACAATGCTGTGAGCAATTTAACTTGTATCTATATAAATTAATCTGTCAAGAAGAGGATGGGAGCCTGAACCATGCATATTACCAATTTACAGGGTTACCCACCAAAGAAGGGACTTCAGAGACGACTGTACGGAATCTATACAGTCTATTTCCCTATATTCTCTCCAACTATAAATGTATGTCGTTAAAAGCCAAATCATAACATAAGCCATTGAACGAATTTAATTATGACAGAAAACATAATTCATCGTATTGTAAAGTTTCAGTCTTCAGTATCATCCTTTGTGGGTATCCATGTACATTATTTCTTGATAAACTTTACTTTTGAAGATCCGGCCAGGATTTAACGATAAATGACTAATCTTTTATTTTGTTTAGACTTTTACTATCAGCGGACCGGCAACTACCGTAATTAATACGGACATTGCTTCAGTGGGTCCAGCAGTTGGGGACTGTCTAACCGACTCATTTACAGGAACTTTAACTTTTCTAAGGATTAATTAGTTTTGTTTTAAAATTAATTTTATTTATTCCCATAAGGTTTCTCATCGGTCTGAGTACCTGTGTAATTAATTTGATTATTATAACTTTTTTTGAAACAGTGGATAAAATATGTCAAGCACTGACAAATTGTGACATTTTTAAATTGTTAAGTTACTAAGTGTTATAAATTATGTAGTGACTACCCCTGGAAGTGGTGCACCGCCTACTATTTGTGGATTTAACACTGGACAGCATATGTTTGTTGACTCAAGCTCAGCTTGCAACATCCTCTCCTTTAATATAGGTTTGGAATTATGCACAGTTAGCTTGGAATTATAAAGTACATTTTTTTTTTTTTTTTTCTTGACTAGCTTGGTAACCCACTCTCAGTTTTGCTTTGAGCTAAACTTTAGCTATACAAGTCAGTCAGCTTATAACTATTTAAAACCAATGTAAGGTTCTACCTGCCGAGTTACTCAATCAAAATTTGAGGCAAATCGGTCTTGGGTTTCCTAAGTTGTGGTCGAACAAACAAACAAGCAATTAAAGATTACTACTTTATATGTATAGATACAATTAATTGAAAAAGGAAAAACAGTTTGATGTTTGTTTTGGTAGGTTTTAAATCGCGGGCTCAGAAATACAATATATGGAGTAAATTATATCAAGTTGCTTTAACTTTAGTTAAACGAACTAAAACTTAAACTACATATGTTTAGATACCGCCACCACTACAACTAGAAGTTGGAGGGTGAAGGCTACACAATACGACTGCAGAAGTGATGTTCCAGGGATAGGTAAGGTCTTAGTGTTGGGCATTAGATTCCTTTCGGGTTTCAAAACCTTTAAGGTTAATGGACTCTTTAAACAATTGTTTTCCTTTCAATATCTAAAATTTCAACTCCCCTGGGAGAAGATATTTACATAAAAGAACCAAAATGGCAAAGTTGTAATCAATAAACAATTGGAGAAGATGATGCGGAAATTATTATTTCATCCTTATTAAAAACGTGACCCAGCGGGTTAAAAACTATGGTTTCACCAAGTGCATAAAACTGCAATTTCTTTATCACAAGTTCACAGCATGTACGTCTATGACTCTATGGCTTGTTATTCTTATTGCCTTGTTTCATCTGTAGTTGATGACTGTCTGCAGTACTTTACTGGACTCTCTGGAACTATAAGAAACTTCAACTATGATACTACTAAAGTTGATTCAGCCCTGGCAACTGCAAACACTCACCTTTCAAACCAGGACTACAATATCTGCTTCAGGTAATGCAAACTTTTACGGTCAAATATGATCGCAATTTTTTATAATTCTAATTCTTAAATTTTTATGGATATACTTTGAAAAATTTTACATTTATTTTATTCTTTTCAAAGCTTTAAAAGAATAATTACTTTGTCTCAAACTCTATTTTTCATCCATGACATCTTTGCAATCTGAACGTGTAAAACTTGCATATGTAAAACATATAATATCATGTTGCAAAGATATGAGGATTAGAAATTACGTATTTAGTTTCTATACAAAATATTGGTCTAACTTCAGACAGGAGAGAGGCTTCTGCTCAATATGTTTCGATCCAGTTTCAACCAATTCATTCTCAGTAAGGTAATAACTCACAATTAACGACTGAATTCAAAGTCAAAGTTAAAATCTAAACAGTATTTTTAAATAACTTTCAAGTGTTTGTACTGGGTAGATAGGTTTTACTTTATATATTTTGGATTAATAATAATAATAATGTTAATTGCTAGATATCAGTTAAATTTACTAAATTGACAGAAAATAAAAACATGTATAAATATATTTACAAGGGTGTAATTGAATAATATTTTCTTCTTCTCAGAAAAGCAAAAGGACATGCATGCTAGTTTAGCAGTTTAAAGGCTATATCCTGAAATTACTTGATTAAAGATTCAATTGTGTTCTTGCTTTTGAGCAGCTAGGGCAATTTGACTAGAGCTGAAAACTTTAGAATTGTGTATATTGAGATCAATGCTTGATCTCTTCTTTTATTAACCTCAAGATGAATTTCATCTTTATAGTTTGTATCCAGTGCATAGAATTCAACCGATGAGAGTGTCGTATAGAAGCCGAGAAATGGTGCGCTCTCTAATTTTGAAAAACCAGTTTTTGATTGATATCTCTGTTCTTTTGGTGTCATATCAATTGAACTAACATAAGTTTGGACAAATATTTTGACAAACGGTCAAAAGTACTAATTATAGATCTTTTAAAAAGATATAAACAGTGTAACACTAACAGCCCGGCTATTGGACAGGGTAGGGGGCTAGCGCCTTTTTTTAATTGACTGCATATCTCCATAAAATGACGATGCCCTAAGCGATAAAATATATTTTTTAGTAAATTCATTTAAACGCAATGAATTTTCATATTGTTTGAGTGCTTTGATGTTCAAATGCTCTCAAACCTGCTTAGTGAACAGCTGACTTTGTTCAATTGAACTTTTGTTCAATCTGATTTAGTCCAATCGATACAGCATCGTATCGACATTTATTATCAATCTTAACTTAAAAACTGTTGGGATATTTAAAAAACGGATTAAGCTAGAAATCAAAAGTGTCCCCATTGAATAACCAGATTAAATAATCAGGTTTAAAGGAAGCCATTTCTTTAGTTTTCAGCTTGGCACATATATTGTGAGAATATTAAATGGTCCATAATTAGGGCTGGGCAAAGTTCCATCAACAAAAAAGAGATTTCGACAATTAATGGAAGAGTCCGTTGACAAACGACAAAAACCGTTAATTTTTAATCATATGAAAAGAAGTAGCCGTTTTTGGAATAAAAAATTAAAAGTCAAAAAAGAAAACACAAATTTTTAATAAACGGCAACTTTCGTTCATTTTTTCGACTTAAATTGCACGAAGCTTGCAACAACAAAAAATATTTTAATGCATTTTTATGTTTTTTAAATTTCGACTTCAGTCTCCCCACATTTTAAACTCTAGCTAATGAAACATTTGGATTATACAAAATGCATCTCAAACAGAAAACAAAATTCATTTAAAAAAAAGATCTCAATATTTTCACTAAATTCTTATGTTTTTTTTCGGGACACCTTGTAAATATGATTATGCTTTCGTTTACTGCAGTGCCAGTGGTGATGCGGGTATAGCTCAATCCGCTATATCATCAGTGTGCACTGGATCAGATGCATTTGGAGATTATATTGAGGTAATAAACATCTTTGGTGATTATATATTGAGGTAATAAACATCTTTGGTGATTATATATTGAGGAAATAAACATCTTTGGTGATTACATTTTGAGGTAATAAACATCTTTGGTGATTATATATTGAGGTAATAAACATCTTTGGTGATTATATATTGAGGCAATAAACATCTTTGGTGATTATATATTGAGGTAATACACATCATTGGTGATTATATATTGAGGTAACAAACATCTTTGGTGCTTATATATTGAGGTAATAAACATCTTTTGTGATTATATATTAAGGAAATAAACATCTTTGGTGATTACATTTTGAGGTAATAAACATCTTTGGTGATTATATATTGAGATAATAAACATCTTTGGTGATTATATATTGAGGTCATTAACATCTTTTGTGATTATATATTGAGGTAATAAACATCTTTGGTGATTATATTTTGAGGTAATGAACATCTTTGGTGATTATATATTGAGGTAATAAACATCTTTGGTGATTATATATTGAGGTAATAGACATCTTTGGTGATTATATTTTGAGGTAATAAACATCTTTGGTGATTATATATTGAGGTAATAAACATCTTTTGTGATTATATATTGAGGTAATAAACATCTTTGGTGATTATATATTGAGGGAATACACATCTTTGGTGATTATAAATTGAGTTATTTCTAACTTTTCGTTATCTCTAAAAAAATAGTTTGTAATCTTTGAAAAATAAGAAATTTATCTTCTTTGTTTTTTAAATATGATGCTAAATTCTATATAATTTTCAGAATTGAGCGGACCTTGATAAATTAGGATATGCCATATGTATTATGTAGGGATGGGCAAAAGCCAGATTCGTTTTACAGAAATTTTTAATGTGTAATGTTTTAATGATTTACGACAATATGAGAAGGTTCCAACATCTAAAATTTTTTTCTGTAGAAGTTTGCTTTTTTCAAACATGCAAATTTGTTACCCTAGAAGAAAACATAAAATAATAATAATAGAATAATTGTTATTGGGTTTTTAAAAACAATGCGTTTTTATTTTGCTCTATATGTTCACCTAAAGGATAAAGGCAAACTGCTGCAGAATATAATTTTTAATCGTTGGACCCTTCTCAGATGGTTGTAAAACCTTTTAAAAGTCTAAAAATCTATTTATAACACTGTTATTTTGGTTCGCAGTGTTATAAAGTTTTTGGACAGAAATTTTCTCTTTATCGAGAAGGTTTATGCCATTTTAGATTTAATTCTGTCCCGAGCTTTAGCGAGGGCCTAATATAATCTAAAAAGGCGAGAACCTTCGAGATAAAAGAAAATTTAAGTCCAAAAACTGTATTGCACATTGTGGCAAAATAATAGTGTTATAGGTAATTTTATGAAACGTTTGTGTACTTGTCTTATTTCAATGGCTATTTCTAGATCAAATAAGCTGTGAAACAAAGCAGAAGTCAAAATATAAAGTGGATTTCAATTTTATTTTCATTTCAATTTAATAAAATATTTTGGAAATATCTGAAATTTGTTGGAGAAAATCCGGGAACCAATCAAAACTTTTTAGCGCACGTGCTATAATGTACACCTAATTTAACTTCATAGCACGATGATTAATTTATAGCACGTTCATTATGAAATTCACGATGAAGTGAGGAAGAATGATAAAGTACACAATAGTTTCATAAAATATTAATAGATTGCCCATCGCTATATGGCCATATGTTATATACCATATCCTGACTCTAGGTTTACTAAGGTATGAAGGGGTGGGGGACTGGGGTACAACGCCCCCAGGCTACACGTACATAGGGCTTAGAGCTGATTATTCACATTAGTCACATGCATATTTTTTAGGTAACCAACCTGGATGTTGCCCCAGTTACACCAGCTACGCTTGGTATACAGAGAGTTTGCGGGAACTTCTTTCATTCAATTCTAGTAAGTTTTCATTTTTTGCCTTGTTGTAACAAGTAGATATTTTTCGAAGCATTCATGAGTTGACATAAAATCCATTGTTATTCATAAATAAAGGTTTGAATTGATAATATTGAAAACTTGTGAATTGTTCATGAAATATACTTTAACTATAAGAGTGGAACCAATTTTGGTTCAAACTACTTCATCCATACCACCAGGTAAATTCTGTTATGAGGAACAAAACTTTTTAAAAGTTTACTTTCAGTTGAAGAAAAAAATCCAACCAGTTGATTTATCAGAAGTGCAGTTACAGGATGGATTTCTAAAATAAAATTGCACAAGCTTAAAGCAATTCCTTCTTGGTTCAAAGAAACATTTTCGAATTTATTAAAACTTGCTTTAATTTTGCCTTTTAAAATTATACATAAATATTGAGGAGATTTGAAAATTTAAAAAAATCTAAATTTCGAACAGAAAATTTCCAATTTCTTTTGTCGTCGAGGAACTATGTTATGCAAAAACCCACCTTCAAATTTTTATATTGTTGCTTGATGAAGCAATCTCAAGCCATTTAAGCATTTAGCAAGTTATCAATCTTTAATCTACTTTTTGTGATTTTAAGTCAACCAAGAATTTGTAAACTTGTTTAATGTTTTCTCCTTTTTCAGGGACAAGCTCCTGGAACCACATTATGTAGTAAGTATTTACTGATTTACTGATAGATTATTATTAAAATAAATATGTAAGGAATGATTATTATATATTTCAAGGGAGTGACCGGCAATGTAAGGTGCAGGTTGAACTGAAATTGTAGTATTGGGGAGAATTTTTTAAAGATTCAATTGAGACATATAAAACGTTTTAACGATATTTTATTACTGAATTTGAGCGCAAAGTCGACGTTTAACATCATCAATTCAGGTGGGTATGTTTTGAGAATTGTTTTTTAAATTGTAAATAACGACGACAAAAATATAGTAAGATTTATATGTTAATTAGATGTTTAGAAAATTATTTTTCAAAAGAAATTTGTCAATAAATAAATGTTAGAATCAACTAATTCGTTTTAGTCAATTTATTGAAATTCTTATTCTCTATAAATTTGTTCGCAGATTTCTACAAATTCTTCAAATGTCGTCTTTTCATTAAAGATTCCAGAAAATCTGCAGAACATCTTTGTGAATGAGAGATTACAGAAACTAATAATTGAATTTTCAAAACATACCCTGCACCCAAATTGATGATTTTGAACGTCGACTTTGCGTTCAAGTTCAGTAATTATAGATCTTAAAGCGATTTCTTTGTTTAAATGAATCCTAAAAAATTTCTCTACAATACTGCAATCTCAGTTCAACCACCATACATTGCCGGTTACTCCCTTTAACAACAAAGTATTTACTGAAAGGTTATTATTACAAAAAAAAAATTAAGGTGCTCATGTTCCATTTCGCTGGGGGGTGAGGTTTGATGATGGAGAAGTAACAGCCGACACTTCTGGGGGAGCTAATTTTAACGCTGCGGAGAACTATGCTGCTGGTGGAACAATTGGCTTCAACATGAACTGGTTTCAATTACCATGTTAAACAATTGTAACGAATTATAACAGAAACTAAGCCTATTTAATCCTGTAGTTAATTTATCGTAATAAAATTCATATGTGCAAGCATATTTGATTAGTAGAGTAAAAAGTAATATATAATTTTGAGATTGATAATATTTCCATGTTAGGTTTGGTTTACACATTTCTTTTTAACTATTTTTCTTTTAATTTTGATAGAAAGGCCGATTCAAAACAAAAGGGAAAGCATCCAGAATTGACCATCTCCGATTTGGCTGATTTTTTTACCACAGCTTAGTTTTTGAAAAATGAAAAGATGGTCTTGGTGACTTAAGACCTAAGAAATTAATTTTTAGGTCATAAATTATAAATGGCGGGAAAAAAAACAATCTGAACGGCTTTTTAATGAATTTTTATACCATGTATTGGTTGCTAAGACTCCAACAGTATTTGTTCATGCATGCACCCCACCCAGATAATAAATGTTATAGGAAATTGTTTTGAAGGCATTTTTGACCTCACAAATGAATATCTGCAGAGACCTGAAGCTGCCATTATACCTTCTTGAGTTCAATACAATAGTCTGAAACATACTTTTAGACCTAAAAATCGGATTCCAGAGTAAAAACCATACTGTAGACATATCTCATACCTATGTGGAGTGGAAAAACAATTTTTTAAGATTTATTTTTTGATAAAAAAAATGAATTTCTAGGCAAAAAAATACACACTCTAAACTTAACACACATATGTATGTTTTGAGATTAAAAAACCATATCAAAGACACATTTAATGTATGAATAGAGGGAACAAATCACGATACCTGATAAACGGTATTGGAGCTAGAAAAAACATATCAAAGACATATGAAATGTATAAAACAGAGTGAACAAAATCATGATTTTTGATCTTTTAAAGTTATCTTTGTGGACACCTAATATATCAGAAGGAGTCCGATAGCCCTAAATGTTTTTTGGAAACCAAAAAAGTTATGTAACTAACTAGAGAATGTTCCAATAAACATAGTATTATAGAGACACATTTTAAATAGTCTTTGTTCAAAGTTAGAGAATTGTGCTACTGCTATCAATTTAAAATGTTCAAAATAAAGTTCCGTTTTCCAGAGTATTTTATGTAAAGGGTAAAAGAAGCTGTTTTGTTAGTAATAGTGTGTGAAATTCATGATGTCTGTAATATTTCTCATTTTACTTAAATACAACAGATATGCATCAAAACATATAAACAACATTACATAGACAGCTTAAGTATCAATACTAAATCAAAAAATTACTTTCAGAGAGCTTAAAATGGTCACTGAATTGACATGTTTTTAGGGACACCCAGTTACGTATATTAATTTGAAAGAAAGGTTTCTGAATAGCCCTTATGAATTTTAAGAGTTTAAAGTTTTTGATTGCTTTTTACCCCAAAAATTATTCGATTTTTTTATTCAATTGTATTATACGCGCATTAATATATTAATATATTACGCAGAAATCTGCAGGTACTTTAATTTTAAGTTTGTTAAAAATTAGGATTAAATAAAGCATTTTTCTGAAATCTTCATTTTTTTCAAACTTTGCTGTCCTTTTCTACCGAATCCAGAGACGTGCTCCATCCCCCCCCCGCAAAAAATAATTTGAAATATGCTATGTGCGAAATTAGTATACTATTAGTATTACTACTTTGTTTAACATAGTAGCAAAGATGTTAACAAAAATTTCGAGAACTTATGTGCAATAGCTCAGTTGGACGTTGAACATAGTAAGTAGTTCAGATGATATACCATCACTTCGATCAGAAATTGGCAAACAAAGACGAAATGAAATTTTCGAATTTTTAGAGAGAATACTACGCGGCCCACAAATCTCAACGGCCCGGGCCACCCGCGGGATTTAAACTCTAGTCTCTAGTCTAGTCCTTACTCCTTAAAGTTAGAACGGAGCTTTAAAGCTGAAACTTCCTATTCAGAAATAAATACAAAATTAAATATAAAAACCTGTCATTTATCTTTAAGAATCAATGGCATTTTATAATGTTTTAACTTTCAGAGGTTAGTATTAAAAGGAATGAAGTAGACAAATCCAAACCAAGAACAGAATTCAAGAAAATGTTCGGTAAAGCAAAGGTAACAAAATTTAAAACCAATAAATAATTTCTCATAGAACGATTTTTGGACCCCCACGGGCCCCCCTCCTATCAATTTTCGATCCAAAAATCGTATACTAGGAAATTACCCAATTTTCTCATCCTGATCATAATTGGCGATATCCTTTCATCTTGTCGTGATCTTACTTTACTCCAATACTTCAGCCGCGCCGAACCCTTACGTTAAAGTTTACATGCTTTAATGTCAGATGCTGTTCCTTCCATCAGCAAATATATTTGTGCCAAATATTGATCTTAAACTCGGTTTATCTTGATAGCCTTTCTCAGATAATAACCCGCCTCAAAATAGACTGTTGCCGAGTATTAATCTTATTACTATGAATCGTGTTGAATCTGTTGAATGCCTCCGGTACATTATAGGATGTTAACATAGGATATGTACGTACTATATCCTGGAACCGGATGCCATTAATTCATTTCTGGTGAAACGTCCATATGTAAATTTATGCTAATTTAATTCTGGCGAAACGTCCATTTTTTGAAAACTTCACTTTATATATGCCAACTTACCTGGATCTCATAGTATGATAAAATTATAGTATTCCGATCCAACTTTTCTTTAGTTTAGAATTTGTTCCTAAGTTTATAATTTATTGATTGTTTACCGCCGTCTTAAAAAAAAGTTTATAAATATTTTTCATACTGTGTCTAATTTTTTAGTTTTATTGATTTTTTAATTTCTTAATTTTGTAACACTCATTATATCTTTTCTTAAATACGAGTAAATGAATAACTCTATGCGATAATCTGTGATCATACTTATATTTAACTACATGTATCGCCTAGACCCAATAAAGACTTGAATAATAATAAAATTATCCACATGGATCTCAGATGTAACACATGGATATAATTTTTATTATTCAAGTCTTTTTTTTATAAGCGATATATGAGATTTATACTAAGTATGATCACAGAGTTTCGCAAAGAATTAATCATTCACTCGTATTTATATTAAGGCATAATGAGTTTTACAAAATGAAAAATGATATATAAAAACCAAAAAATTAAAAATTAGATACATTTTGAAAAATCAATCAACAATAAACTTAGGAACAAAGTATAAACTAGAGTAGAGTATGAATAAAATTGACGTTGCAATACATGGATATAATTGGTCATGTGGCCGCAGTACCCGGCCCCCTAGCCTGTCCTAGCCGCAGAGCTCGGTCCATAAATTGTCTTAGCCTAACCCCAAAATAATAATAAAATAAAAAGTAATAATTTTGCAAAAAAAAGTGGTCATGTACAATTTTGATAGGATGGGAGGGGGGGGGGGTCCAAAAATGGTTACACAGGATAGACCCTAAAGTATTAAAAAAGTTTTTAAATCGTAAATTTTGTTGAAGTTGTTATTCTTGCACGCCTGATCTCTATATAATATATAGAGTGAAGATTTGAGGATTAGTGTTTAATCCCTCAATCAAAGTTCTCCCTGCAGGTAACTACAATCGCGAGATACCAAAGATAATATATATGAATCATTAAATCTGCCGAAGTCTTAAATAGAGATTAATGCTTAATCCTGAGAATAACATCACAACAGTTGTGCTCTAGGGCTAACTGGGAGCAGGATACGTACCCAGGAGGAGCTGGTAGGAGGCTTACAAACATAATGGACGAGCATCCAATATACCCTGGCGCACCTCTTTAATGCACGGACAAGTATATTCAAGCATGTATTTCAGGAACAGGATTTTCTTACAGCTCTAGTCGTGAACTGAAATACAATAATATTCAGTCCCGACTATTTTATGTTTGTATAGTATAAAATAAGTATAATATTCGTTATAATAATAAAGAATTTGTACAATTTAAGCCATTTGAGTTGCCCAGGAATTACGTTTATGATTGGTAAATAAAACACACTTACAAAGTTGAACTAGCCAGGGGGTTTTTCAGTAACATCACCCATTTTGATTTTGTATTCTTTAGGGTAAGGTTAAGACAATTTCAGGGCCGAGCGCTGCGACTAGAACAGGATGGGGGCCCAACGCCGCGGCTAGGATAGGCTAGAGGGCCACGCGCTGCGGCTACGTGTCCAACTTTGATCATGTGGAACATGAGAGCTCTTTTACTCACTATAGTTTGTTAATCATTCAAATGAAATTCTGAAGTTGATCGTTTTTTCTTAGGTAAAGAGGTTTAATGAAGAGGTAAACTGTGCTCCAGCACCTAATGCGTATGATGCCAAGCTAACACAGAGCAAAGCTGGAGTTGCGCTCACTAAATCTCAACGCTTTGAAGAGTCGAAGGTTGGTATTGCTCTTCTAAACCCCGCTCCTGATTTTAAACTTTTCTTTATAGTTAAATCATTTTCCCGATTTAGTTATTAACTCACAAATGATTGTTATAGTTCTAAAAATTATATTTAATTTTGTTTTTGCGCAACATCTTTCGAAACATCTATTATTTTTTACTGCGTAGAGACCATAATAGTCATTTAGATCCTTACTGAAATTTTTCAGCAGTCTTGACTTGCATCTGGTTATCATTCTTTAAATTTATAGATTCTAAAGAAAACGTTTCGACATATTGTAGTATTTACAACAGGAACATATTTAGTGCTTGTAAAAGTCAACACACTCAACTCAGATTTGTTCAACCAAGCTATAAGTATTCATATTCTCGTATCGAGCTCCCTTATCAGAATTGTTCGACCAAGCTATAAATATTCATATTCTCGTATCAAGCTCCCCTATCAACATTTGAGGAGAATCGGTCATGGTGTTCATAAGTTATATGCTCAGATATACAATCGGAACAGGAAAATAAACTTAAATTACCTAAATATTTAGTATGTTACTCCTGGTCCTGGTCAGTACCTGGTTCCCAGTGGACTCGGAATACAGGGACCATCTGCTCTACCCAAACCCCAGTTACTCGCTCGGTCATCCTCATTTAGGGTTAAGAAGGTAGGAAACTAGTTACTTAAGCCCGGTCATCTTCATTCAGGGTCAAGAAAGTTAGATACTAGCTACTCGGCCGGTCATCTTAATTCCGGGTCAGGAAGGTAGGATACCATCTACTCGCCCGGTCATCCTCATTCAGGGTTAAAAATGTAGAATACTAGCTAGTCGGCCGGTCATCATAACTCAGGGTCAGGAAAGTATGATACCACTTACTGGACTGGTCATCTATATTCAGGGTTAAAATCGTAGGATACTTTTTACTTGCCCGGTCATTTTCATTTAAGGGAGTGACCGGCTATGTATGGTAGTTGAACTGAGAATGTAGTATTGTAGATTTTAGGAATCATTTGAGACCTATGAGATGGTTTTACGGTGCAGATTTGTTCAACAAGAGCGCAAATTAAATCTTTGAAATCCTGTTGGATTGTTAATTTTTGAAATAATTAAAGAACGACGACGAAAACTTTGTAAAAATTCTGCAGTAAAATAATTAGTTATTTAGGAACCGGTTGAGAAAATAAAAATCAACTACTATCATCGAAAATAAGTAATCTTATTCAGTGATTGGTTTCTGTAATGTACCATTGTTCACACACATTTTCTGTTGATTTCCTGAAATTTTTATTGAAAAGACTACATTTGATGGTTTTGAAGAATATGAAATTCATTATAATGATGAAAAAGAAAAAATTGATTCTAGCATGTGTTTACTGTAGAATTTTTTTCTCCTTTTATAGTCGTCGTTATTTAATAACCGAAAAAAATCGATTTTCTTATATAACTATTCATCATTAAAACGTTTTATATGTCTTAAATGACTCCTAAAAATGTCTTCAAAGCTACATTCTCAGTTCAACAACCATACATTGCCGGTCACTCCCTTTAAGTGTTTAAAACAAATATTATACTAGCTACTCACCCGGTCATTTACATTCGATCAGGGTTAAGAAGATTGGAGTCGGTCAACATTAGTCGGGACTTTTCAATTCAGCAAAAACGTCGGTCTTACCGTGAACATTTTTCCCCCGTATTTTGCATGACAAACTTAAAGCGGAACATAAATGAATTCCCACCCTTTTATGGGAGTTAGAAGGGAGAATTTGAAATATTTAGGGGTGTTGATCAATCAAATTAAGCCCTGAAAAAAAAACGTTTAATGAAATCATTTGTTTTAGGGTTCTGTAACGGACATGACCGGATCGTCAATTAGTTCAACTCCCTCCGCTACGCCGAGGTAATCATTTTACAAGAGATAAAAATTCTTTAAACGCTTTGTAATTCTCACTACTGTGGAAAAGCATATGATATTCGCTACTGTGGAAAAACATATGATATGAATTCTTGTTCATTTTTAGTAAGGGACTTGGTTGGGCCAGTAAACAAAAAACCCTCCCCCCCCCTTCTACAAAAAAAAAATATTAAAGTTAATATTTTCATCGTATTTTTGTTTTCAAAATAATTCGATTTTTTCACTTTATGGCAATCTTTGTAACAGATCGGTCAAGACTAGGTTCCATTGTTTCTCCATTAATGCTAAAATTAATTTTCCATTCTTTACAGAAATAATTTGTGCTTCTTTTTAACAGTATTTTCTAATTTTAAGACATGATGATTGATGCCTAATTTTTTAAGATTGTACTTTTTTAGAAAATTGAGGAGAAGTGTTTCTAGTACAAATCTCAGTGCTTCAAAGCCAACAAAAAATCAGGTTAAAATCTTAACTAATTTTAAGATCTCTTTTTTTAGCGATTGAATTGAATTTGAAAATAAAACAAACATGAATTAGCAACTAAAACGAAGCAAGGGCTCCAAATTGTTTTCTTTTTTTTCTGTAAAACAAAGAATCAAAATGATACCATTACTCGTTTTAAACTCTATTTTACAAATCCTTACATCTTTGCAACTTGATGATGTAAACCTTTGATATTTCAAACTTTCTCTTGAAATATCAGACAGAGGTACAAAACATCAGCTTGCAAAGATATAAGAATAAGAAAATTCGAATTTAAGTGAAGTGTTAAGTTTCTCTAACCCTAAGTCTGAAAATTATAATTTTTTAACAAATCCTCCCTTCTCCTAGGATATACAAGCTCTGGAGAAAAGGAACCAGGAGCTGCAGAGACAAGTGGAGCAGCTTCAACAACAACATCTAGAAGCAGCTGAACAGCTCAAGCAGCAACAGCTAGAAGCAGCTCAGATTCAGGAATGTTCAAGCTCTTACTTTGATTATTTAGACTTGAAGTGTAATTTCAAGTAATCCCCCATTTACAGAGTGTCATTCATGATTTACAACTGTACTATTAAAAGCTGTATCTCGTTAAGTACATAAGTTTGACAGTTGCTTGTTCTCAATGGTGGTTTCTTTGCATAAATGGTTTTCGCATTTCTAATACAGGAAAACAATGTATTAGTTATCAGAATTATATCTTTAACGTAAAAACGACCTTTTCTTCCACAATATTTATCTTCTTCCACATTATTAATCAGATAAAGGTTTCAAGGGTACTGTTGTGAATCGGACATGCCCCTAATTATTACGACCGTTCCTTCTAATCATAAATTTCTTTTGATTTAAATGAACTAATTGAAAATGCAATTGAAAATAATGATGTTCTTACAACAACAAGTTTTCAAAAAACAGCTTGTATTTTTTATATATCACAAGACTTTATTAAAGGGACTATATTTGTTAAGACTTTATTAGAGGGACTATATCTGTTTAGACTTTATTAGAGGGACTATATCTGTTTAGACTTAATTAAAGGGACTATTTTTGTTAAGACTTAATTAAAGGGACTATATTTGTTTAGACTTTTAAGTGACCGTCCATGTTTGAATGGACAACACAAAAACGGTATCCTTGAACCATCTATCTGATCAATTATGTGAAAGATATTTTCGTTTTTCTAGGTTCTAGGTTTTAAGGGTACGGTTCTAAATCGGGCATTGCGATCTTCGCATGGATGGTCACAATACCTTTCATTTTACAATTTAGTGTCAGCTGAATATCTGGTAGGACTCCGTGGTTGTCAAGTGTTCACATGAAGACACACATCTTAATAATCTCAGGTGACACATTCGTATTAGTAAAAACACTCGGAGAAGAGTAACTTCCATTGAAATTCTTTCTTCCTTTATCATTACAGAGGCCGAATTTAAAGAATTTAAGCAGCAGCTCAAATATGGTTCGTTCCACTTAAAATTGTATTAAATTTTTCAAGATTTAAGTCGACGCTCAATTGAAACCGGTTTTTGGGGGATTTGAGACGCGGCTTTAATTCATTAAATTCGGACACAGATCTTTAAAAGATATTGTAAAATTACATTTATGACTGATATAAAGCTAGAGGTGCTTATATTCTTGAAAATCTCTTTGCTTAATTGGAAAAATAAATGATTATTAGGGCGAAATAGATAATTTTTGAGTAAGAAAAACCTTTTTATTGGTGTCCAATTTTTCGATTTTTGCCCCCAATACAACAAAAATCATGGGGGGGGGGGGTTAAATTCTTTAAATTATTCATTCTTGCATAAAGCAGTGCATCGAAATTGTATGTGTGGGTGTGGACTGTTGTTGTGTTGATGGAGATTCACCGTCTAAGACGCCACATATCGTTCTCTGATGACTATTAGACCATTTTTTTTAAATACCACGGGCAACGCTGGGTTATTCTGCTATCATTGAATATATATTTGCAGGGAAAAGCTTGAAACAGTTGAAGCTGAACTAGAAACATGTAGAACTGAACTAAGGTAATTAATCAGAAGGGGTTTAAAGTCAATGTCGACGCATGTTAAATCGACATGAGATCGGAACTGTTGTGTGGATATTGTTAATCTTGTGAACGTTTGATCTCGATATCCAATGTGGGCACTTTTAAATTTGAAGATCAATAATTGATCTCTGAATAGAGATATCCCAGAAGAGTATGCCCTCTACGGGATATGGAAGAGGAATTAAATTAATCCATAGATCTGAATGGATGAAGAATAAGATCAATGCTTGATCCCGTGATTTACAATATAAAAGTTCTGGAGTGGGTACACAGCGTCGATAGTCAAAACTTAGACTGATACAAAACGTCGACTGCTACATGAATAATCATAAAAAGTGTTTGTCTCTGAAAACTCTGTGGAATTAAGATTTTTTGACTTGCAAATTTTTTCTAGATACCAAAAAGAGCTGTGGGAAGAAGCCCAGGAAGAAAGAGATAAAATGCTCATCAAATGCGAAAAATTATCAGAAAAAAGTGACAGGTAAGATATGGTATTGTATACTCTTGGTTCAAAATGATAGTTCTCTTGAATATTAACTAATTGATTAAGTGATTCATGGATTTATGGATTCATTGATTCATTGATTCATTGATTCATTGATTCATTGATTCATTGATTCATTGATTCATTGATTCATTGATTCATTGATTCATTGATTCATTGATTCATAAATTTGATCTGATAGAGCTGAGAGTTTGAGCAAAGAAGTTGAACTCTTGGTTCAAGATAATAGTTCTCTGGAGGAAGAAATATCAGCGCTGCAGGAGGAGAGATTTCAGGTGTTTGGCTTATTTAATTCTGATAAATTGATTAGTTGATAAAGAGTGATTTATAGATATAATTATTCTATTGATGGTTGATTGATTGGTTTGGTTTTTTGATGGGCTAATGAAATAAAATAAGAAAGGTCAAAACAGTTCAATACAATTTAGTACAAAATGCACGTGGTTTGGTTAATGGGATGACTATTTGGTTTTAATTTTTAATTTTTTTTTTACATTTGTAAGATTTGTATTAAATTATGAAATACGTTCAATTTTTCTTCTTTATTTTCACTATAACAAAAAATGTCAATTCTTGACAACATTTTAACCTGATGAAAAAAAAACTTAAAATCTCAGGTTGAATCTGAGCTTGAGGAGATGAGATCTACTAGATTGGAACTAGAGGATAAATGCAAGGGAAATATTATTTGAAAATAACGAAAAACACATTTCTCGAATCCTCGCCCCCTTTTTAAGTTTGATTACGATTTACCTAAACCTGGGACAATATGAATTTTTTTTCTTCAAAATTTACCAACCTGCAGAAATATTTGTTCAATTAAACTTAAAAAAAGAAAATAAGAAATTGTTAGTTTTTGATTTTTTAAAAATGGGTCTGTGCAAGCACTTTTAAAACTCAACAATAACTAATGGAGGTAGATTTTTCATTACTTACTTGTTACTTTTAGGTTGATCTTCAGAGGGCCTCTTGGTCCATAGCGCAGATATCTGTTTTGAGGACTCTGGCAAATTTCCTCTTAACAGTCCATTTTTTGCCTTTAACTTGCTAAATTTTTAACCGATTGTTTGGTACCCAAATCAACATATTTTGAAGTAATGTTTTTTGCTTGCACTAGTGATTTTATTTTCACATAAACGTGATGCGCTGCATGAATTTAAAAGTCAGAACAGAAAAAAAATCATTTTTGTTTTGCTTTTTTATTTGTAAAACTTTCAAGACATGTGCTGAAAGAATCTGAACATATGTATAAAAAAGTGCCAGATTGCCCACCCTTTGGTTTAAACTCATGTTAAAAAATAGATTTCAAAATTGACATTTTATCATAAACCCCGTTCCACAGTTGACGGCTTAATGGTTTTAAGTTGATAATAATATTAAAGGAGGAGGACGCAAAGAATATTTTTCTACATTTTACACAGGAACAGTTAAACTCACAGGTACAGTAAAACATTTTTTATAAATAAAAAGAAAAAACATTTTGTTGGCAAAGTCGGAATCAAACCTCGTCTATAACAATTATGATATACACATAACAAAAGCAATAATAAAAACAATCACAATAACGGATGCAGTACATGCATTGTGGCAGTACAAAATAGTATGCAAACATCGAAAATTTCCCTCTAAAAAATGCAATATGTCATAAATACATTGCAAGCCAACATGGGTTGCTTATTGCTCAAGAATGAACGTGTTCTGTTTTTAATTGTTTATTTAAATTGTGAAGTTTCTCTGTTAAAGTGACTTGCGGATTTCTTGATATTCTTGATACAGAAACAATGGAGGGAATTGTAAAAATTACACTCTTTTCAAGCTAGGAAAACAAGGATTGCATCCATATTATTGATCAGTGAACTATGTAGGGTCACTTGAAATGGTGTTAGGTACTTTCCCAAATAGCATTTTCCCAAGGGCTCCCAAGTGACAATTTCCCAAATGTACAATTTCACAAGTGGCAACTTGCCAAAGGTTATATAAGGCCCTCCGGGGCGCCGCAGGCTGCAATGGGGGGCCTAGCTCTGCGGCTAGGATGGTCTAGGGGGCCGAGAGCTGTGGCTAGAACAGATGGGGACCAAGTGCGACGGCCAGGATAGACTTGGGAAGTTGACGCTTGGGAAATTGAACATTTGGGAAGTTGCCACTTGGGAAAACTAAATCCTTAAAATTACAACACCAGTCTCTAAACTATTCTCATATTAAGGTTACCAGCCTTGAATCTGTTGTAACTAGTTTAAAGCAAGAAAACACATTACTTGCCCGGGGCATCAACAAAATGGTTGCGGCTGTTCAGGAGGAAAAAGCTAAAAATGCCGAGGTAATTTAAAACTGAAAATTAGTTTTGGGGTTTATGATTTCATAATAATTAAATATTTGACATCAAAATGCAAGTTTTTTTCTTCATCCTTTTGGCTTTTGTCACTAAGGCCTAAATGTACGTTCAACTCCGATCCCTTTTGGGATCGGAAATGGAATTATTTGGACCCATGCAGAATAACAAAATGGGGAAAAGTTCAAACTAAAAAATTAAGGTGAAAAGATTGTTTCGTTAAAAATTTAATGCATGGTTAAAGAAATAGAGACTTACTTGTATCGCAATATATAAGTTGTGTGAATTGAATTGAATCCAAATACTCTGAACGTACATTTTTTATTAATATAATTAATATTGTAGATAACTGATGCCTACATGAAGGAGAATGCTGATAGTGAACAAGAATTTAATCGTCTTGAACAACAGCTTACTGGTCTCAAGGTAGTCTAAGATTTTATTTCTGGTTCGAACTATTCATAAACTATAAAATATACGCAAGGAAACCATTAGAGACAATGTGTCAGCCACATTTCATTCACTCTTTAAATATGATTGTCACCTCATAAGAAATAAATGTGTCACAATGGTTATATGGCTCAAAACTTGCTCAAGTGCAGAAGTACGGACTTAAACTCATTTTACAATGTAGCCTTAAGCAATTAAATTTGGTTTGATTTGATATGATTTGATGTGATTTGATTTGATTTGATTTGATTTGATTTGATTTGATTTGATTTGATTTGATTTGATTTGATTTGATTTGATTTGATTTGATTTGATTTGATTTGATTTGATTTGATTTGATTTGATTTGATTTGATTTGATTTGATTTGATTTGATTTGATTTGATTTGATTTGATTTGGGCATCCATACATTGCTTTTGAATTTGCTGAAGTGGTGAAAATGAATCGTTTTTTGGGGAAATGAATAAATGTTTGGGTGGGCGTAATTCTTTAAAATATATACCACTGAGATCAGATGAAATTTTCATCAAAGTATTTTTATTTGTCCTTTGTTAGGTTTTATTAGAGGAGAAAGAAAGTCTTCTCCTCAAAGTTCTACGAGATGTTGACAATCTTCAAGTAAAAACTAATCTTCTGGAAGGAGAACTAGCAGAACTCAACAAGGAGTTGGAAGTTTCAGACAACGACAAGGGACATAATATACTATAAAAAATGATCTCAGCTTGTTACTTATAAATGAGATGTAATGGAACCATTTATCTTCAGGGGTCCATATATCTCCATTTCTGATACCAAATAGGATCGGGGTTAAAAGAACATTTAGGCCTTAGAGGCATAAAAGTACACTTTCTGTGTCCTTGTGAACTTTGATAAGTTTTTTTTTGTGTACGTGTAGTACACTTATGAAATGTGTACTGCATTTGGGGTGTTAAAAGATGTAAACATCAGTATTCAAAATAAGAGATAAATTATTATATACAGAAAAATTATCACTCCTTGCAGTAAAGATTTTGTTCTTCAACTTGACATCATACTTCCAACCACCATTTAATTTCTGCCCCCCAATATCAATCAATCAACATTTGGGATCGTGTTGGATGGAATTTTTAGAACACTTAAATTTTTAACCTCAACTGAAACTTTTTAATTGGCAGGATTGGGTTAGGTTATTCCTGCTCTCTCATTGGTCAACTCCTAGATCTTGAGAAATAGTTTGGAAAGAAAGGGCACAGAGCTGAAAACTTTGGAAGGAGATATCCTTAATCCCAATTACTTAATCTGAGTGTGAGTATCCAATGGACACACTTTTGATTTTCTTCCTAAACCGTTCTTTCTTGGATATAAATCTAAACCCTTTTTTTAATTTTGAGAGTCGCTCCCGTTTCTGTATATAATTTTAAACTGCGCGCAAAATTTCGAATTTATCGGTTTCATAGTTGCTAATCTGATTTTTTACACTTTTTAGGATACAAGTACAAGATTAGGTTAGTCTCGATATTAGGAAAAAGAGAGGATCACGCATTAATCTCAATATCCACCATTCTAAAGTTTTCAGCTCAGGTTGAAATAAATAAAATAGGAAGAAGTTTGCTAGCAACATTGATTTTCTGGCAAATTATTTACGTGGGTTTTCTATATTTTCTGGGAGAAAAGCGTCAATAATTTAAAATGATCTTGTCTATTTAAATAACATTTTTTTCTCTTATTGTTGAAATCTTTAATTGCTGCTTTCAATATGACAACATGATTTTTAATTACCCTGCCATTCACGCCCAGTGCTAAATATTTTAATGAACTAGGGTTTAAGGTCGCTTCGCGATCCTTTTCGAGTAACAATTTTAGCTTTAACTATTTTTTTAACTTTTAACTTTGTCGCCAGTTTTTCATCGTTATCCTAAAATTTCCCGGATTTTTCTTTTTTAATTGGTGTATTTTCGAAAACCACAAATACTGACATTTTTTCAAGGTAATATTTAGTACTTCAACTAGCCTGAAACCTCCTTGGGTCATTTAAATTGTGAGTTGCGTTCAAAAATGTGGCCAATCTGTTCCATCGTTTTTACTTTTATTGGATAGAAACAAATAAACAATTGCTGATGCACTAAAAATGATTAAATAATGTATATTTTGTTTGGATTAGACGGTTTTAAAGGACACCTTACATGTAACAGAGAAAGAGAAGAACGGTTTAGCTCTAGATCTTGCAGAAATATCAAAGGTGAAAACTTATTAATGATCCAAGTATAAAACAATTTACTTCATCGGGATCATTTATTTACCTCAAGAAGAAGTAAGAAGTTATACGAAATACATTTGTTAATTACTGCCACGGCCAACTTATTTTTGTTTGTAATTTTAATAATTTTCTCAAAATGTTAACGAAAAAATACGCAATTTAGAAATAAAACCTGAGTGCGAAATTTTTTTGTTAGATCTCCGGTTAATCTAGGATTTCCAGGCTTAACCAGAGATCTTCACACTTTGATGGCTAAACCGTAGCCACAGAAATTGTTTATAAAAAGCTGTCAACTTTGGAGGATGGGGGGAGGGTGGTGGGGAAAGGCGATCCACACCTGATTTATCTCCGACTCCGGTCCACACTCATTTTCCCTTCCGGTTAAAATTATGTATTTTTCATGCTAATTTTAGACTAATACAGCATTAATTTAGATTTTAAAATTTTTTTAATTAAACTTTTTATTATATTTTTTTTGGTGACAGTAGAAGATGTCTTGGGTCAAGGAACCAAAAGTTGTGAAAGGAAAAAGTGCGGTTTCAATAATTTTCTCTTTACCTAAAATGTTAAAGATATAGTAGCTATCAACAGTCTTCGTTAAGTGCCAATAAAAAAATTTATTTTTTATAAAAAATGTCACAGTTTAGTAAGCAATTCAGTTAAAGTATCTGCTTTGCAGTATTCTTTAACTGACTTGCACGTCAAAAGGCGACATTTTATCTAAAAAAAATAATTTTTTTAGTGTTCCAAAACTTATTCAGAGAAGATTATGGTCAGCAGTTGTCTACATTTTAACTGCAATTGTCTACAATATAGCATATAAAAGTACAGACTTTTTTTCCGGAAGGAAAAATAGTGATATCAATTGACCCATGCAAGGAAGGCAATGTCCGATTCTAAACGGTACCCTTTAAAGCTTTGTCGGATCAAGCATGAATTAGATATCAATGTTCATAAGTCTGAAAACTGATTTATTTTTAATTGTTGTTTTTCTACCAAAGTGAGTGGTGCATTTTCTGCTGCAGGAAAACAATGTATGAATTGTCATGATTAAACATGTCCAAACCTGAAAACCATGTTATCTTCCACATTATTTATCAGATAACGGTTTCAAGGGTACCGTTGTAAATGGGACATACCATTTCTGCACGGAGGGTCACTTGAAATATCACTTAACAATGAACATTTGTATTTAGAACAAGATGGAGGTTGAGGAGAAACTAAAGAAAACTGTTCAAACATTGGAATCATTTAAACTAGAACTAGAGGAAACAAGGTAGAAAATTCATGTTTGTTTTATAATATTTGTTTGTTTTTGTTTGTTATGTATTTCCCATATGGGAAGCCTGAGGCATAATTTAAAGAATTTAAAGCGCGACGCTGAACCGCCAATAACCGGTTCCAATAGAGCGCCGCCGGCTCAAACCTCGAAATACTGAGCACATTTTTAAGTGGAACCAACTATGTTTGAGCCGCGTCTCAATTATTTCTTAAACCTTGTTTGAGACGCAACTTAAATTCTATAAATTCGGCCTGTTTTTCTTGAATTAGTAGTTGATGGCATTGTTTCTCAATCTCATAGATTAACTTTTCAATTACTTTCCTTTTTTATCAATAGTTTTAATTAAATATTTTCAGAGGAGAGGTGCATGAGGTGGAGATGACTAAACTTGGGTTGGAGGGAGCACTGGCCAGCCTTAGGAACAAACTAAATCATTTTAATCTCAGATTCAATTTCTAATTTACAGGGTGGCCAAAATGTAGGGATTGTACGGATTGCTTTTTTTTAACCCTAAAATTGTACGGATTGTACGGATTTGTTTTCAAATTGTACGGATTGTACGGATTTTTATCCTGGAAAATATACCGTTTTTTAAATTTTCACTCATTTCAGCAAATTTTTCATGAAAATTTAAAAAAAAAATCTCGTCAAAATGAAGTTAGTTTAACTTATTTTCTGCTTTCTAAATAATATTAGATTGATTAATGTTTCAATTGACAATCAAAATTCATTCATAATTTTCGAGATATGTCCAAGAAGTGTTTATTTGAGAATATGTTCCACAAGTACTTATTTGATTGCTTATTCAAGAAGATGTTCCAGTATCCTGTACCCAGTATCCT